ATTGTTTCGTTATTTAGTATTTAATGCGATAACCTTTGATTGGCTTCGTCTAAGAGCATCGGAACGATCTGAATATTCTAAGTGGTAGAAAACATGAACGCGTGAAGAAGAAGTTGCAGCTCCAGAGTTCAGTTTGTCGTCCAAACCAAGACGAAGGGGGAGAGGAGCAGAAGCTCCTGCGGCTCGACCAATGGGTGGCCTCCGTGCTGATTGAGGAGAAAGACCCTCCAATCAGGTGAAGAGGTGGCGAAGCATCAAACGTCTGCAAAGTTCTGCTGACCGCTTTGATCCGGCGCTGTGCTCCTCAAAGGGAACGGCGTCCTCCTCGCTGGCACTTCCTGTTTCTGTTCGGAGGCCTCTGTGAGAGGAGGTGGAGCCCCCTGGTGGAGGCCCCTCCCTGACAACCAGCGCCAGGAACGCCACTGTCACGTGACGGAGGCCCTCTGAGGGCTTCTGGACACCTTCTGGTTTCAAACAGTCCGGTTAGAGACGGACCACAGAGGCGCACACACACACACACACACACACACACACACACACACACACACACACACCTCTAACGCCACCGTTACCCCTGAGCTTCGCTCAACTTTACGAGCTTAAATGTCCAAATTAGCGCCCCGCGGCACCGGGGGGAAGCGACGGCGTCCCTCAGCTTCACCCTCAAAGAAGACGGGGCTGCTAAGCTCCGCCCCTCAGAAAGTTGCTAAATAAGTAGCACCAGAACCAGCGCCCTCCCCCAGTGGGCGGCGGGCGTAGGCCCGTCGAGACACCGCCAGCCGCGTTATGAAGAAACCGCAGTTGATATTATGCTGAACAGCCAAACTTTATTAACATCTGTTAACATTTGTGTAGCTTGATAAAACCGTAGTTTAAACACGGTGTTGTATTCTGCAGCGTTTAATAGGCTACACACAGTGATCCTTCCTCCTGTACGCGTAGCCATTTGTCTCTTCATCATTCGCAGACATGAACCGTTGGCCTACATCTGCAGGCTCAATCTTCTCCGCCCGCTACAATGCAGCTCTGCTTGTATTAAATCTCCAGCGTCTGCGACCGTTGGATAAACATACCAGGCTAGTTTAGTCCAGTACCAGCAGGATAGCAAATCAAAAGTTCAGCTGAATTAACGCTGAATTGTCCATTTTGGTAAAGTTTGCATTAGATGGTTGTTTTTTATTATTCTCTGGTGTATTTAGTAACTCTGTGTCCGTCTGCTACCAGCTCTCTTTCTATGAGGGACCATTCACACAGTTTCAGATCATCTTGTCGAGGACGCGTTGGAAACCTTGGAAATCTATTTTTTACTTCATCGTATAGATAATAATCATAATGAGTTTGCAGATAAATTGTGCACATTGTTGTTCCAACAGGCATTTCAAATTAAAAAAATATTGGGGGGGACAATTGGGTCTTTCCCAAACTTTGGTCGTCACTAGTCCTTAAGACCCCAACGCAAACCTACGCGGTCTTTGCAGCGGACTCTTCACAGACTCCCCGAGGGAACAAACGGTTCTCTCCGTAGTTCCAGACTTGAGTCGATCCGGATCGCTCTGCATCTCCTTGCAGGCAGAAATTAAACATTGCGCAACAGGAAGCCTCTCTAACGCCACGCTAAACCCTATGCCACGTCTGAGGCTAATGGAGGTCGACCACGTGGACCAACTTGGACTAACAAGGACACCACCTAGACCAACATGGATCAACAAGGACCCACGTAGGCCAACGTGGACCAACAAGGACCCACGTACACCAACAAGGACCCGCATGGACCAACAAGGACCCACGTAGACCAAGAATGACCCACGTACACCAACAAGGACCCGCATGGAGCAACAAGGACCCACGTGGACCAACAAGGACCCGTGTAGACCAACAAGGACCAACGTGGACCAACAAGGACCCACGTGGACCAACAAGGACCCGTGTAGACCAACAAGGACCCAAGTGGACCAACAAGGACCCACGTAGACAAACAAGGACCAACGTGGTCAAAAAACTAAATACCTTTTTTATAATGTTTTCATTGATTTTTGTATTTCCTATTCTTTCCATTTCAAATATGAAATGTTTTCCATCCCCCCTCCCCTCAGCGTCCCGGTTCTCCCGTCCCAGGACGCCCCCCCGGCCGAGCAGGAAACGTGCCCTGTCCATGTCGCCGTTGTCGGAGGCCAGCATCGACCTGCACGCCATGATCCGCTCCTCCCCCAGCTCGCTGGTGGCCTACATCAACAGCTCGCGCTCTGGCTCCGCCTCCAGCAGCTCCTACGGACACCTGTCGGTGGGGGGGTTCAGGTAGCTCACCCCCTCGCGCAACCTCATGCATCCATTTCTCTTTGGTTCCCTCCTTCCTTACCCACCTTGTCCACGCAGGTGACATTTGTCAAGGATGTCTCCTTGTGTCCTTGTCTCCTTGTGTCCTTGCAGCCCGTCCTTCCCCTTCCCTCCGCCCATCAACCCGATGGCGTACCAGCAGCTTCTCGCTCAGCATCGAGGGCTGAACGCCTTCGGCTACACGCCGCCTCTCCTCCAGGCTCCGCCCTCTTTTTGCGGCCCCCAGCCGGGTCTCGGCCCGCCGCTCCACGGGCGCGACCTGCAGACCAAAGTGAACAGATGATCTATTATATGTACACATATAACATAGATAATATCTTCAAAGATGTTTTTAGATTCAAGTAAAAACAGAAATCACTCGACTGAAGTCTTCAGTTTAGACATTATTAAGTTATGAAAGTTTAAAAATAACACATTTTATTTATATTTATTAAATATTTATAATTTCACATTATTTTTTTAATTAATAATAGTTAATACATTAGCTAAAATATACAAAATGATAGAGAAAAAGAAGCTCATGACAAAACAGATCAAATAATTACAATGAAATAAATTAATAACAAATATTTGAAATCATTTTTTAAAAAAGTATAATACTAAAATCTGTTTCCTTCCTTGGTGCCCCCCCCCCGCCCCCCACAGAACCACAGCGGCGAACCGGCGGTCAGCAGCACAGTCGAGCCCGCCGTCACCAAGAGGTCAAAGGTGAAGACGGAGGCGGAGCGTTGGAGGCCGCTGTCTCCTTGTTCCCCGGTATGAGAGGAAGAGGGCGGGGCTTACAGACTGTATTAAAACTTTTCTTCGTTAACGTCGTAAAGGCATTCGTGCATTTATTCTTTATTTTTATGGAAAGTCAGTAAGTTAATTTTGAAAGGAAACATTTAAAATAACAAACATGGTCTTAACAGAGGACAGCATTCATTTGACTTTTTGTTTAAAATTTTAGGGCAATTTAGAAAGTTGTGATAATATTTAGAAAGAGTGAAAAACGAACCTTTAGTGTGAAGAGACCCCCCCCCCCCCCCTCTAAACTGTGCCACAGCACTTCATTTTCATGAAATATTGTCCGGGCCTCATCTGAGGAGCCTTTTCTCTGCTTTGATAAATCCCCCCCCCCCCCGTCCCCCGGCGTGATGCATGGGGACGAGGAGGCGCGCCGTCGTCTTGGGGCCGCGAGAATTGATGAAGATAGCGAGCGCACATGCTGCAGTCAGCACGTTGTGTAAGTGTGTGTCTGTGTGTGTCTCACACGCGCAACGGTGTGTGAATACCAGCGTCTCTGTGAGGACACTTTTAGTTTTAGCAGGACGTTTCTCCTGTGAGACAAAAAAGTGAGACAAAAGAGTAGAAAGAAAAGTGTTTTTTGTGAAGGGAAGACATTTAGACGTTTAGCTCTAAATATCTTTGGGGACAAGATGATTCTTGAGGACTTCCTGTAAAGGACATTTTTTAGGTAGTCAGAAGTTGGAAGGGGAAATATTTAACATTTTTGGACAAAATGCACAAAAACAAAAGTTTATTGGCCAGTTTTGGGACATCTTGTCCTGTTCTTGCCGGAGACGCGGCGCGGTGGCTCTGGCGTCTTTGACCTCTTGTCCCGCTGTGGGACGGGGACACTTCTCAATTACGGAGCGTACAAAAGTCAAAGCTTTACTTGCTCTGCAAAAACACGTGAACGCTTCCACATGTCCGAGTCCCTCCTTGTCCTCCGCAGGTCCACCGCGGCCCGCCGGACCGGAAGGACGAGGCGGAGCGGGACGAGTGCAAGCCGGAGGCCGAGGCCGCGTACGAGACGGACTGCCACTGGGACGGCTGCAGCCGGGAGCACGAGAACCAGGAGCAGCTGGTGCAGGTGAGTGTGAGGAGGGAGACGCAGCGCCTCCTCTGGATGCCAGAATCAGCTCCTCACTGCCCGTGTGTGTCCACAGCACATCAACAACCACCACATCCACGGCGAGAAGAAGGAGTTCGTGTGCCGCTGGGACGCCTGCTCACGGGAGCAGAAGCCCTTCAAGGCTCAGTACATGCTGGTGGTCCACATGCGCCGGCACACGGGGGAGAAACCACACAAGTGCACGGTGGGTAACGGACGGCTCCACCCCCCCCCACGCTGCCCAAACACCGTGCACACACACACACACACACACACACACACACACACACACACACACACACACACACACACAGGAGGGAGGAGCTGTTTGTTTGTGTCAATAGGAGCTGAGAAGACTTTACAGATTAAAGAGTTATTCCTGATTAGAGACGTCACAGTGAAGGAAGAAGACCGGAACAAATTAGCTATACAATCATAATTCATCTTTCGGGCCATTTCCCGGGTTGAAGAAAAGAAAAAATTTATTCCTGCTGCAAATTCTGTTGAATGCCGAGGTGGTGGTCTCCTCCCAAAAGCTCCACTCATGATAAGAACTCTGATGTAACTGATATCATCTTGTCCCGCTGCAGTTCGAGGGCTGCTCCAAAGCCTACTCCCGACTGGAGAACCTCAAAACTCACCTGCGCTCCCACACCGGAGAGAAACCCTACGTCTGCGAGCACGAGGGCTGCAACAAGGCCTTCTCCAACGCCTCGGACCGGGCCAAGCACCAGAACCGCACGCACTCCAACGAGGTGACGCGCCGCAGCATCCGCACGCTTCCTCCACACGCATCATCCACACGCATCATCCACACGCTTCCTCCACACGCATCATCCACACGCATCATCCACACGCAGCATCCACACGCTTCATCCACACGCATCATCCACACGCAGCATCCACACGCTTCCTCCACACGCATCATCCACACGCATCATCCACACGCAGCATCCACACGCTTCCTCCACACGCATCATCCACACGCATCATCCACACGCAGCATCCACACGCTTCCTCCACACGCATCATCAACACGCATCATCCACACGCTTCATCCACACGCATCATCCACACGCAGAAAGAGAGTTAATAACAGCAGAGCATCAATAAAGCTCACGTGTTGTGTGTTGCGTGTTGCGTGTGTTGTTGATAGTTGAGGTGGGGGCGTCCCTATGTGAATCAGCTGGAGTAGCACCACCCGTATAATACCTCTTGGTGACCCTCGCCGGGCTGCACCACCCATGTGGGGGGCCGCTCGCCGGCTGGGCCGTCACAGTGTGTGTGAATAATGACGTGTACACACAGTGAGCATGACAGCCCACAATGCATTGGGGCGAACCCCTCGCTGAGCAGGACCACCTGCAGACGGCGAACAGAGGAAGCAAACCAGCGCGAGTACAAACGCACCCGCTGATGGAACCTCCTCTTCCTGGTTCCCATAGAAACCGTACGTCTGTAAGCTCCCCGGCTGCACCAAGCGCTACACGGACCCCAGCTCCCTCCGGAAGCACGTGAAGACGGTCCACGGCCCGGAGGCCCACGTTACCAGGGGGCAGCGCGCCGCCCCGCCCCCCCCCGGACCTCCCTCGCGGCTGCCGAGGGACAGCGGTGAGGAGGCGGCGGGGAGGCGCAGGAGGTCGGAGCGCGGTGGCGTGGAGGACTACCTGCACCTCAGGTGCATCAAGGCGGAGCCCCCCGTGGTGAGAAGGAGCCCCCCGTCCTCTCCTCTGTAGTAACCAGCCCCCTTTGTGCTGCTTGATGATCGCTCTCCTTTCTTCTCCCCTCACGGACAGACTTTGTTAAGGTGAGCTCACCTGTGGCTTGTTATCACCTGACCCCCCCCATCTCACTGCATCACACCGAGACCACTTCAGTCGAGGAGGAGTCGACCAATAAGCATTAAGGACTGAAGTGGCTTCTTAGAATCTATTTACATGAAGTAACGACCTTTCCAGCAGTAAATGTACTTTGGACGTTTTTGTAAAGCCAGTATGTTGGGGGGGGGGGGGCGGGGGGCAAAATACACCAACATGAAACATCAATAGATACAGGACCCGATCAATACAGGAGCTGATCAATACATGTCCTTAAATGTACTTGAAGCCGTATTTTTAAAATGTGACCGTTATGTATTTTACATTCTTTTCCAGGACCCGAGCAGACGGGTCGACCTCCTCATATCTATAGAGCTCAGCAGAGACCCCCCCCCGTCAGAGATAAAAGACCCTCCAGGATTAGTATTCACCGGCTGGGAGTCGACTTTCACGCCGTGATCAAGACGGCTTTAATCAGCGAATACATTAGAGTCAGCGAGGACACGCGGTCCTGGGGGGGACAGATGAACTCCCGTCTGCAGCATTATTAATATATTTGTTCATTATTAAGTGCAGGAGGTGTGTGAGTGCCTGATGAAACGCCTCCTCGCTGTATAACGGGATGATCCCCCCCCCTTCACCCCAAACTCCCCAAATAAACACTCGTTATTTACAATTAAGATTCACTGTTGCTCCACTTCTATTGAGGACAAACTCTTGTGCCCCCCCCCCCCCGTAGATGCATTAGTCCGGAACTGCCGGTCGCTCATCACGAAACATCGGCACCAACAACCACCGTGGAGTAGAGATGGCGGCGCCCAGCGGGGAAGCTTGGGGGATCCAGGTGGGGGCGCGGCGGCGGGGGGCCCCCACCTGCGAGAGCGGTTCCTGAGGCCGGACAAGCTGAAGACGGCGAGGGACAAGCCCCCCCCCCCCATACCGGCAACCGCCAGGCCTCACAGCTCGGCAGCAACAGCTCCGCCGACCTCTACGACCTCGGCAGACACGTCCCGGCGCTCCAGTCAGGCCGGTCAGTGCGGCGGCTAAGTATCGGGGGGTTACGGGGGGGGGGGCCCTCTGGCCTGCTCGCCCTGACCCCGGCGCAGCAGCCTCAAGCCTGAGTACGCCGCCGCCACCGGAGGTGCACGGCCTACATCTCTGTCGTGCACGGACAGACTGTGCAAGGACTCCGACAGGCCCTGAACCGCCAAGCAGCACCTGACCCCGGGGGGTCCCGGCCAACGCGTGACCAAGTCAGTCCCTCAGCAGGGACTCTCTCGTGGGTGATGTCTCCTTTTGAAGACCCCCCCGCGGCGCTGGAGTGAGCGCAGACAGCCGGCGATGGGGGCCGGCGAGCTACGCAACTCGATGTCGTAGCAAACGGTTGACGAACACGTGCTGCACAACAGACTTCAAACGGTGTCTTTGTGTCCCCAAAAAGTCTCCGGCGGCGGTTTCCGTGTCTCGTTGGTTCAGTATCGTCACGGCGACCGGACTCCGCCGGCTCTGCAGTGCCTGGCTCCGCCTCCACGGCATTAAAAAGACTCCTCAGCGATCCATTATTGTTTTGTGTTGTTGAACCAGTTTGTTTCTCGCTGCTTGAATGTAAATATCATTTGTACGTTTCTAAGAAAGACAATGTGGACATTTTTAAACAAAGCGTTGTTTGTGCTGTTATTTGTGCAGATTTGAATAATGATTATTATGAATGTTTTCGGATCCAACAAAGATTATATTTATAAAGGTCGTTGGTCTGTGAATGTTTTGAACGGTTTTGTTCGTCTCCATCTTGTTTTCTTAGTGAGGAGGAAGTGACCACAATTGGACTGAGTAGGACGTTGAGACCTGTCAATCAGCGTTAGGCCTAAAGCGCCCCCTGCTCTATGGTGTGTTACATCTAAATGGGCCGTAATTCACTAAATGAACATCATGCTGTAGCTTTAAAGAACAGGAAACAAACGTCGTTCTAACGGAGCTGCAATGATTATTGTCACTGCTCAGATTACAGGTTCCCATCAAACGCACAATGATAATTCTGTCTTAAATGGAATCGTATCGCGATGGAATTAGATATCCTGATACAAATCATACCGGCTAAATTGATTCTAAAAATGCTAATGCTAAAAGTTCTTAATTAAACAAAAAATGGTCATCAGCTACTATGTTGACGATGGATCGATCAATAAGCAGAAATGGGAGAACGGAGCCTCACTCAGATCCTCCTCCTGCTGTTAGTAATAGTTGTACCCTATGGTTGAATGCACTTATTGTACGTCGCTTTGGATAAAAGCGTCAGCTAAATGACATGTAATGTAATAGTAACAGTAATATTACTGTAATATTAGTAATAGTAACAGTAATATTACTGTAATAGTAACAGTAATATTACTGTAATATTAGTAATAGTAACAGTAATATTACTGTAATATTAGTAATAGTAACAGTAATATTACTGTAATATTAGTAATAGTAACAGTAATATTACTGTAATATTAGTAATAGTAACAGTAATATTAGTAATAGTAACAGTAATATTACTGTAATATTAGTAATAGTAACAGTAATATTAGTAATAGTAACAGTAATATTAATGTAATATTAGTAATAGTAACAGTAATATTACAGTAATATTAGTAATAGTAACAGTAATATTACAGTAATATTAGTAATAGTAACAGCAATATTACTGTAATATTAACAACAGCAATATTACTGTAATATTAGTAATAGTAACAGTAATATTACTGTATATATTAGTAATAGTAATATTAGTAATAGTAACAGTAATATTAATGTAATATTAGTAATAGTAACAGTAATATTAACAGTAATATTACAGTAATAGTAACAGTAATATTATTAATAGTAACAGTAATATTATTAATAGTAACAGTAATATTACTGTAATAGTAACAGCAATATTACTGTAATATTAGTAATATTAACTGTAATATTACTGTAATATTAACTGTAATATTACTGTAATATTAGTAATAGTAACAGCAATATTACTGTAATATTAGTAATATTAACTGTAATATTACTGTAATATTAGTAATAGTAACAGTAATATTAGTAATAGTAACAGTAATATTACTGTAATATTAGTAATATTAACTGTAATATTAGTAATAGTAACAGTAATATTAATTTAATATTAGTAATAGTAACAGTAATATTACTGTGATATTAGTAATAGTAACAGTAATATTACTGTAATATTAGTAATAGTAACAGTAATATTAGTAATATTACTGTAATATTAGTAATAGTAACAGTAATATTAGTAATAGTAACAGTAATATTAATGTAATATTAGTAATAGTAACAGTAATATTACAGTAATATTAGTAATAGTAACAGTAATATTACAGTAATATTAGTAATAGTAACAGCAATATTACTGTAATATTAACAACAGCAATATTACTGTAATATTAGTAATAGTAACAGTAATATTACTGTATATATTAGTAATAGTAATATTAGTAATAGTAACAGTAATATTACTGTAATATTAGTAATAGTAACAGTAATATTACTGTAATATTAGTAATAGTAACAGTAATATTAGTAATAGTAACAGTAATATTAATGTAATATTAGTAATAGTAACAGTAATATTAACAGTAATATTACAGTAATATTAGTAATAGTAACAGTAATATTACTGTAATATTAACAACAGCATTATTACTGTAATATTACTGTAATATTAGTAATAGTAACAGTAATATTACTGTAATATTAGTAATAGTAACAGTAATATTAGTAATAGTAACAGTAATATTAATGTAATATTAGTAATAGTAACAGCAATATTACTGTAATATTACAGTAATATTAGTAATAGTAACAGTAATATTAGTAATAGTAACAGTAATATTAGTAATAGTAACAGTAATATTACTGTAATATTAGTAATATTAACTGTAATATTAGTAATAGTAACAGTAATATTACTGTGATATTAGTAATAGTAATATTACTGTGATATTAGTAATAGTAACAGTAATATTACTGTAATATTAGTAATAGTAACAGTAATATTAGTAATATTAGTAATAGTAACAGTAATATTAGTAATAGTAACAGTAATATTACTGTAATATTAGTAATATTAGTAATATTAACTGTAATATTAGTAATAGTAACAGTAATATTAATTTAATATTAGTAATAGTAACAGTAATATTACTGTGATATTAGTAATAGTAACAGTAATATTACTGTAATATTAGTAATAGTAACAGTAATATTAGTAATATTACTGTAATATTAGTAATAGTAACAGTAATATTAGTAATAGTAACAGTAATATTAATGTAATATTAGTAATAGTAACAGTAATATACAGTAATATTAGTAATAGTAACAGTAATATTACAGTAATATTAGTAATAGTAACAGCAATATTACTGTAATATTAACAACAGCAATATTACTGTAATATTAGTAATAGTAACAGTAATATTACTGTATATATTAGTAATAGTAATATTAGTAATAGTAACAGTAATATTAATGTAATATTAGTAATAGTAACAGTAATATTAACAGTAATATTACAGTAATAGTAACAGTAATATTATTAATAGTAACAGTAATATTATTAATAGTAACAGTAATATTACTGTAATAGTAACAGCAATATTACTGTAATATTAGTAATATTAACTGTAATATTACTGTAATATTAACTGTAATATTACTGTAATATTAGTAATAGTAACAGCAATATTACTGTAATATTAGTAATATTAACTGTAATATTACTGTAATATTAGTAATAGTAACAGTAATATTAGTAATAGTAACAGTAATATATACTGTAATATTAGTAATATTAACTGTAATATTAGTAATAGTAACAGTAATATTAATTTAATATTAGTAATAGTAACAGTAATATTACTGTGATATTAGTAATAGTAACAGTAATATTACTGTAATATTAGTAATAGTAACAGTAATATTAGTAATATTACTGTAATATTAGTAATAGTAACAGTAATTTTAGTAATAGTAACAGTAATTTTAGTA